GGGGGGGGGGGGAGGCAGGGGCCACTGAAGCACCTGCCATAGGAGCTTCCAAGGGGACCTTCTTGGGATTTCACAAGTGACACCCGACTGATCTGCGTTTCCCACTCCTTATGGGCATGGCTGGTGGCTTGGGGGAGACACGTGGCCTCCCTGGCTAACCCTGATCAGGGGGATCGTGAGCGCTAGGGTGGGGTCTAGGGCTGGGCAGGTTACCGTGTAGACAGCACAAGTGACCCCAGAGGCCCCAGTCCTCCAGCCTCCCACCCCTCCCTTGGGCTAAGAGGAAGCCCTGAATAACAGAGTGCCTGGCCTGGGCGCCGGCCCGCAGCGAAGGCGCCATCCGCACTGGCTAGTCCGGACGAGCCCGAGCAAACCCCCAGTCTGCAACGGCAGAGCTGACGATCTGACAAGCCCGCTTCTTGTCAGTTTTAAAAATAGCAGTGTGGGAACCCTCGGAGGCTCCCTGGGAGCATCCCCGGCTTGGTGCTCGAGTAGGCCTGGCCTGGAGGCATCCGCTAACCGAGGATTAAACCATGTTTCCTGCTGCCTTCCCCAAAGCTGGTTCCCTCTCAGGAGCTCTTCGGGGCTGGTCCCCCCTTCTCTCCTCCCACGATGTGTTACTCCTCTGACGTCCAGAGACCACCACCCTTTTGTCCCCTACTTTCTACTTTCCCCTTTTCCACCGTCAATGCTTCTGGAAAGGGAAGCCTTGTCCCTCCCTCACCATCGGCCCATCTTTAGAATTTCTGAGGGGAGGGGGGAGCCTCTGGCTTCTTAGAAACTGTCTTTTAGAAACGGTCTGTCTGATGATATTTCTGATATTTTCCCCTACCCCGATGCCCTCCCTGGGGTGGGAAAGACATGCTGAGACCTGTCCTAAATGAGGGAAAAAAAATTGGGTTAATCTAAGTGCTATTGAGAAAGTATTGGACAAATTGAACCCCAGCTTAGTCCTGTGAACGTCCAGAGGTTTTCCATCTGGGACTAGGAGGAGGTCCTGGGGGTGGAGGTGCTTCGTGCATTCCTGCCCGGAAACGGAATTAATAACCTTTCCCCAAATGGTGAAGAAAAGGAGCCTGTTTTGAAACGATTACAGAAGAGAAATGTGACACCAGTCCTGCCGAATTTGCCTAATTGCAGGCAGCACGTCACAGTGTTTAGGTTGCGCTAA